CATGGAGAATGGAGAACAAGACGAGGGAGGAGCACACGTTAGAGGTAGGCACTTTGATGGGCCTTTGACATGCAATCAAATGCAAGCAAGGAGACAGAAAGAAAGAACCTGGGTGGGCCTATTGCGGCTTCCTGTCAGGTTCGGAGATGCCAAAAATAGCCCGGTCAGAATGCACCTGGATGTGAAATTGGCTGGCAAGTGCATTACCTGCACCTGATCTGGAGGATACTCAGGTGCATACTGATCGGGCAAGTCCTGTCCTCTCAAGCATAAACGGGCTAGTTCTGCCTTTCATCAATATCTTTTTAATTAAAAATCTGCATAATAGCTGTAGAATTTGCAACATCTCACCACTCAAACACGCTGCTTCCCTCTTCACAGTTCAAAATTGAGTCACCACCTAACCCAACCCATTGTCTATCTAAGACTTAGGCCAAACAAGAGCCCTCAGGTCGAACCCAAACAATTCCCACTAAGTGATTGCTTTAGGACCTTGGTGTACCCACCATGTGGGCTGTTTCCCTTTTGACTTTGGATCTTAGCACCCAAAGTCGGTCTGCGTGATGCTCAGTTGCAAGCATCCGGAGTTTCCTTGGGAATGGTTTGGTCAAATTTCGGGCCACCCTAGCCCATCGAGTGCTGTGACACTCTTGCAATGAAGAACACACGTGCTACCTCAGTATAGTCATGGGGAACTGCCCAGTGAAGCGTAGGCAGAGAGGGAGACGAGGACAACAAACGAAGGTCTGTGACAGACTGTTTCGTCGCAGTTCCACCGAACTCATGGGGAGGGTGAACCCTCTACAGTCTCCAGAGCCCCCCTAACCAAGGACACTGTAAGTGATAACAATCCACCTTAAACCACCAGTCCATCGGACCCTGTACTGTGGATTTTTCTCGGTACCTAATACTGTAGCAAAATCTATAGTGACCAGGCAAGGCTTAGGTTCGGAGGGAAAAGGCTGGTGGGCCCAAAAGGATCTATTGAAATCGAAATTGGAAAAAAAAAAAAACAAACAAAAAAAAAAACGAGAAACTGAGAGGGCTGCAAACGAAAGAAACAAAAGAAGGGGGCGGGGGAACAAAGATTTGGCCGTGATAGGGGTCAGATACATTCTGGAAAGTACTTCCAGAGTGTGTGTATATGCCCTCAGTGATGGTCGTTTCCTGAGAAAGTGGAATTCGCCCTGCCTCACTTGCAGGGCACTAAGAAAGAAAGAAGAGAAGGAAAAAAAAAAAAAAAAAGATTTGGCCGTAATAGTGAAATGCCCGCTATGATACGACGGACGTGGCCATATACGGCACATCCTGCCCTGCTCCTCATGACGCTTAAAAATCAGATATGGGGGTCGCTCCACTACTCACCAAATGTGCAAAATGGGAATGAATCTTCCGCTACAACATGGGAAGATACGCCGCCACATTTTCTGACCTGTGTGCATGCGGAAAGTAGTGGAGCGAGGCCCACGGATTTGGCGAAACTTTTGTTTTGCTGGATGGAGAACCCTGTAGTCCGCAAAAAGAAAATGCATAGACCTATGCAGATCTGTTGTTGGACTTGAGCTACTTGAGCTTAGAACGGCCCAGATGAGACGACGGGGCCGATCGGGCCGATCGAAACAAATTCAAAAGTAACAGACGAGAGACACCCAAAGATGTTGGAGGAGGAGGAACAACGACAAAAATAAAGTGGAGTAAAAGCATACACTCACACTAGGGACTTTCCTCCTAGATGAGACGTATCTGACCGCCATTGCGGCCGCAATTACGTCCAGAAACCAGTTGAGAAAGTCCTGAAGTGTGAGTACTATGCCCTTAGTTGTAGGCATAAACCTCCGATAAGGTGAACGTTCATCAGTCGGACAATAAATCTGTCTGAAAATTGGAAGTTGTACGAGGAGAGAGCTAGGAGTTCCCGCCATCAGCGAAAACTTCCCGCCATCAGCGAAAACTTCCCGCCATCAGCGAAAACTTCCCGCCGTCAGCGAAAATCTTCCAGGACTTCCCGCCATCAGCAAGAATCCTCCAGGCTTGCCCTCCATCAACAAAAGTCCTCGAGGATTTCCCGCCACGAGTAGAAACCCTCCAGGATTTCCCGCCACGAGTAGAAACCCTCCAGGATTTCCCGCCACGAGTAGAAACCCTCCAGGATTTCCCGCCCTCAGCAAAACCTTCCAGGATTTCCCGCCGCCCTCAGCAAAACCTTCCAGGATTTCCCGCTTCCCGCCATCAGCAAGAATCCTCCAGGCTTGCCCTCCATCAACAAAAGTCCTCGAGGATTTCCCGCCACGAGTAGAAAACCTCCAGGATTTCCCGCCACGAGTAGAAACGCTCCAGGATTTCCCGCCCTCAGCAAAACCTTCCAGGATTTCCCGCCGCCCTCAGCAAAACCTTACAGGATTTCCCGCCGCCATCACCAAAAAACCTCCGGGATTTCCCGCCATCGCCAAATCCCCTCCAGGATTGCCCGCCATCAGCAGAAACCCTCCACGGTCTCCCGCCATCAACACCAATCCTCCAGTATTTCTTACCATCCGCAAAAACCTGCAAGATTTCCCACCATCCGCAAGAAACCTCCAGGGCACCCTGAAAGATTCTTTTACGCATAGTCTCTCCCCCGACGAAGAGCAAACTCGAACCAAGCGGCATCCCTGCACCTCACTACTGCTCATGAGCAACATTATTAAAAAAAAAAAAAAAAATACTTGATTGATTGCAACAGCGCCCCGCTTCGCTTGACAGCTATCACCTGTTGTCGAACTTCCATACTATCGCAGAAGCATCGCCAAAGTCTGTCGCACATGCCTCACCAAAGTACGTCGTCGCACATGCATCACCAAAGTATGTCGCACATTTCATCACCAAAAAAGTCTATTGCACATGCATCGTCGCCGCAAGCCGATGAACCGGCTTACGGACGCCAATTCCACTGCTTCCGAACCCGCGAATAGAACGCATGTGTTTTGTCATTGTGCCTCACAGGAACTCCCTTAAACCCCACTCTTTCTTTCAAGGTCTCTCACTGCCATATGAAATTACCCACAACGAACATGACGCATGGCCATGAAGCTGTGTGTGGCCTGGAAATTTGCCGTAAATACAGCTCTGCAAATTAGCCTGCGATGACCGTGCTCTTTCAAGGTCTACTCTTGTTTTCTTCTTTCTGTGTCATCGCCACCCTTTCTGTCTTTCTTCTTCTCTCTCTCTCTCTCTCTCTCTCTCTCTCTCTCTCTCTCTCTCTCTCTCTCTCTCTCTCTCTCTCTCTCTCTCTCTCTCTTTCTTTCTTTCTTATCTCTCTGTCGTTGCCTTGTCATCCTGATGCATGAGTTGGTTTGATGAATTATCCTTTTGAAGTCAGTTCGGTTCATCAACTGCGTGCGGTATGTTCGAGCAGGGGAACAACTGTCCTCTCACCCGTCAAACAAGTACCCCCTGCCAAATGAAATTCCGTCTTAAAAGGGCCAGGTAGATTCCAAATGCCGCCAGCCCCCCCCCCCCCCCTTTTTGCATACCGGCATATCTGCTTCAATGCGGCCCTAGAATGCCCCTGCCCATGCGGCGTTCTAATGCCCTTGATGACCAGGGGCAAGGTCCCACTTGCACGGATTACGAGATTCTGACCGTTGATCTGTGTTATCTACGGTCAATATCTCGTAATTCGTGTAAGTGGGACCTAGCCCCAGGAAAAGTGGGGGCTTGAATGCGGTCATATAAAGCCCATGCCCATGCGTTCTACTCGAGGCTAGAAGACTGGAGAATCGTCAGAAAGGCACCCGCAAACCGGAGGGGGGAAAACACGAGCACGCACGTGTTCCCGAAATAATCGTCACACAAGGGGCTTCTGAAGATCAATCTCATCCCATCCCAGCCCGATGAATCTGTACAACCCGCGGTCTACATGAGCAGAGCGCACCCTGTTTTGTTTGTGCGCGCCAACACGCACGTTCCACATGCAGGGGGCGACGAGGGCCCGCATCGTCAGAACCGAGCTACGTAACTCTTTGCATGCAAACACGAAGGGGACAGAGAAAAAAAATGTGGCGAAAGGAAAAGCAAACCATGAATGCTGCACAAGTGAAGGGCCTGCGAAAGCCGAAGCTGACCGACATGCAGAAAACAATCATGTGCTCTGAACGAAACCCAAGCGCGTCCTGTTTTCTTTGCTCCTTTACAGCGCTTCTTTCCGTTTTACTCTATATGTTATCGACCGATTATGACAACCCCTCGCTCGACATCCTCCTACTTGTATAGAGGCTAATGGTCTGCTCACACGCTGCCTTGCACAACGTGAACTGAACACATAATCGAAACTGAATCACACGCTGCCTTGCACAACGTAAACTGAACACATAATCGAAACTGAATACAAACAAAAACGCTTCCATACTCAGGACAAGTAATTTCGTCTCGCTGTCTCATCCCGCTGTTTCATCACGCCGCATCCTCTCGCTCTTCACCAAGGAATTCCAACTCAGATCTGTATGCCAACTGTTCATGGGTGTACCGAGTGAGTCTGGCTGTTTATCTCGCTGCTGTTTCATCACGCTACATCATCTCGCTGTTCATCAAGCGATTCGAACTAAGGTCCGTATTTCAACAGCTCCTATGTGTACCGACGGATCTACTACCTTCTTCCCCCGAATACAACGTACGGTCATTATTGCTGTATTTAGACTGAAAGATACCCCAAATTCAGCTATAATGACCGTACGTTGTATTCGGGGGAAGAATGTAGTCTCGCTGTTCATCTACGTAGCTGATGACACGTAGATGCCGTTTCATCTACCTGCCGTTTCCTCTCGCTGCTGTTTTATCTCGCTGCTGTTTTTTTTTTTTTTTTCAGGCGGCTGCCTCGATTATGTAAAATCGTTCGATTATGTATTTCCTTCCGGTTTCCGAGAAAAAATGGAATTTTGTAGTCAGGTACGATTAGCGGCTTCGCTCCCTTGTGGTAAAAAATCTCTAAACACACGCAGCCAAGTACGATTTCCAAGACGCGACCGTCTGATCTTCGCTGCGCCATCCATCCATCAAGCTGGTTCGTCGAAGAATGCCCCATAAGGCAACGACAGAGATGAGACAGCGACAGCGACTACCGCATAGACTGAAAACCACTCGAGCGCAGTGGTCAAAAATCTCTAAACACACGCAGCCAGGTACGATATCAAAGGCGCGACCGTCTGATCTTCGCTGCGCCATCCATCCATCAAGCTGGTTCGTCGAAGAATGCCCCATAAGGCAACGACAGAGATGAGACAGCGACTGCGACTACCGCGTAGACTGAAAACCACTCGAGCGAAGTGCGTCGAGGGGTCGCGAGACGCATGGAGTCGTCAGAGATTCAAGTAAGATCGATCGCGCATACTCTACTAATCAGATCCATGTTGAAGTAGCTAGCTCTGGTGGAGTAAAATCGATCGTTCACTAATCAGATTCATCACGTCGTTTTCTCTTTCGGGTCATTGCCCAAAATTTCGGAATTAAAAAAAAAAAAAAAAAAAAAAAAAAAAAAAAAAAAATCGGAATTTGATGGTGACCACGTAACCAAGCGCATTCTCACAGGGACTTTCATGGATGTAGAGTATTTGACCATCGGCTTGACGTGACCATGACGCAAACACATCCGAAAGCATCAACATCTACCGTCCGATCCTTCAAAAATCAACAAAGGCGAGTCATTACTCTGCATAGCCAAAGCAGGACAGATCTATCTTGCACCAGACATTATGCGGGTGCATATGTGCGCCGAGTCCACATCTACGCCGCGAATCGCAGACCATCTGTCGGCCATTTGCGAAATACTATTACGCGGGGAAGATGGTGTCCAATAGTCATTCCCGCTCTGCAAACGCGTACCTCTGTTCCTGTAGACACTCTTCGCATTGACTACTGGGCAGTATCCTTGCGACCAACTCATGATGGCGCTCGTTGCTACAGTCCCACAAATCGCGCGGCTATATGTGTATCCATCTATCTTATCTTCTCTATCTTATCTATATACCTGTGTCTCTACATCTCTCTATCTTATCTATATAGCTGTGTCTCTACATCCCCCATCTCAGTATCTCTACCTAACCTTCTGTCTGTCTCTCTGTGGCCGCGAGCACCCTTCGCGCACCCTCCCCCCGTCACACACAGACACACCCATAAACCGCCATCACACCCCTTCCCCCACCCACCGCCAATTGACACACAGTAAAGCCGACCACTTTTCTCACGGATGTCGCCAATCTTTGGCCCAGGGGGTGAGTCCTTATCCATTAGTCAAACCCATCCTGAGCACTGTCGAGGTTCAACCTCCTGATAGGAAGGTGAAAGTCCGACGAAACAGTCTGTTCGGCACAGTCATGCTTTTATGTGGAGTCGCCAATAGCGAACATGACAACACACACACACACAAAAAAAAAAAAAAAAAAAAAAAAACACACACGCGCGCGCGCGCGAGAGAGAGAGGAATGTTCGCGCACAACGCATGTGCTTTCTGACACGCACGCAAAGGTGATATCTACCAAGTCTCAGACGATATCTCCCAGTTTTTTTTTTTTTTCGTTCTAATCAATTCTACAATGAATGGGTTGATTTTCTTCTCAGGTAGGGAAAACATACTAGTAATATAAGGACAAGAATGGGGATAAAGACCGACTCACCGCATCCGTCCAAAAGACCCAATCGTAGTTCTGCAGATGTTTACGGACGGCGAGGACTTTACTCCAACTGGGTGGCCGTCTCCGATCGAGTACGTCGCTTGCGTCGATGAAATCGTACCCGTGTCTCTTCACGTATCCCACTTTATTAGGCGCAATCATCTCCGCCAAACCTTCGAAAGACCGCTCTGGGATAGTGCTAGATCCATCAGAACACGTGACCATTGCGAATCGTCGTCGATCGCCTGCACCAGATGACAACTCAGCATCGACAGGAAGGAGAGGCTGACGTGGCAAACCGCGATAGCACCGACGGCCAAGAGAGTTCGCTTGAATCAGCAGCTGTTCAGATACCAGAAGCACAGCGTACTGAAAAACCGCAAATACCACCATAGCTGCCAGAAACCCAGGCAGAATTCCTCTACCATGAATGCCTACCCCAACTACTCCACTTCCTCCTCCTCCTCCTCCTCCTCCTCCTCCTCCTCCTACTCCGCCTCCTCCTGCTGCTGGCCCTCCTACATGGTCCATAGCCAGGGAAGATGAACCTCGCAGACGGCCGCGCTCAGTCAATTGCCACATCGAACAGCACCTCCCTCCTGCTCCTACACCTCCTCCTCCTCCTCCTCCTCCTGCCCCTTTTGCCCCTTTTGCCGCCTTTGCAACTTCTGCTTTGCGCTCCGTAGACTGCCCGCGTCCCATCTGGAGGGAGCTGGGGACTTCCCAAGACCGCCGAGCAGCGCACTCGGCACCTCCTCTTCCCTCCTCACTCTCGCCTCCTTGCTCTCTTCCTCCTCCTGTAGACCTCAGCGCCGCCGCCGTTGCCGATACGGAACCCCGCCAACACTGAAAAAGTCCCCATTCTCCGACGATCGACCTCCCTCCTACTACTACTCCTCCTATTCCTACTCCCATTCCTACTCTCTTCCCCCCTCTTTCCAGATGCTCATGATGGGATTCCCCTCCCGCGGTCCTGCCCCCGGCGTTCGTCCTGCTCTTACCACTAAATTTCAAAGAGCAAGATCCCGACCCGCCGGCGCCAGAAACAGATAACCCGCCCCGCCCTCCCACAGCTCCACCTTCACAGCCACCTGCACCGCGACCAAGGTGTGGTACAGAACAAGATCCCGACGACAGGACGCCTCGTGCACGTGCGCGCTCCGGAGAGTCCATACAGTCCGGTCGTCCAGTCTGCGCACCCTCCTCTCGTCTCACTTCTCTCCCTCCCTGACCCTTCCGCACCCCTTTGATACCCAAGCCGTCTCTCTCTCTCTCTCTCTCTCTCTCTCTCTCTCTCTCTCTCTCTCTC